GAATTCATCATAAAAATCAAAAGTAAAGAAGAAAGATGTTTGGAGTATTCTCTCACAATGGTTTTCCTTTCTAAGAACCTTAAAAAAAATTACATGCCTCTCTTGGGCGAAGTCTAATGTTTTAAATAGGGTTTAGGTCTAAAAATTCCGTGTTTTACACTTTGGTCCCTGAAGTTCTCGGCTTCCGTATGGGAGAGGCCAGCCTAGTAGGCCACGAGTTTCAGCACCACCTCCTACCCGGGGGGCTCCAGCACGCCCCTATCTCAGTGTTGTGCCAAAGACTTCCTACCGCCCACCAGCCATTCATGGTTCCTCCAGTGGGTATTCAGGTCCCCATGGTCCTCCTGATTCTTATTTCAGTGCCATGCCGGAGAGTTCATGTCGTCCACCGGCTATCCAGGCTTCTTCCAGCGGTTCTACGGGTTATCAGGGTCAGCCATCAGGGCAGCAGGTCACCGCCCCGCGCTGTTGTTTTGAGTGCGGAGATCCCGGTCATATGAGGAGATACTGCCCCAGGCTTCGGGGCAAGGCAGTGCAGCAGGGTCAGCAGCCCATGATTCCAACACCAGCTGCCCAGCCACCTAGAGGTAGAGGGAAGACGGGTAGAGGTCGTCCTAGAGGTGGAGGCCAAACAGGGAGAGGTTAGCCAGCTACTACTCAGTCAGGTGGAGGTCAGACAGTCGGCGCTCCAGCCAGGTTCTATGCTCTTCCAGCCAGGCCGAATGCATTAGCCTCAGATGCCGTCATCACAGGTATTATTCCCATTGGTGGTAGGGATGCTTCGGTATTATTTGATCCAGGGTCTACTTATTCATATGTATCATCTCTGTTCGCTCGCTTCCTGGTTATTCCTCCTGAGCCCTTGGGTGTTCCTGTTCATGTGTCAGCTCCTGTGGGTGATTCTGTGGTTGTGGATCGAATCTACCGGTCCTGTGTGGTCACCTTCTGTGGTCTCGAGACTAGAGCAGATCTTCTGTTGCTGGACATGATCGATTTTGAGGTCATCTTGGGCATGGATTGGCTATCTCCATATCACGCCGTCCTTGATTGCCATGCCAAGACTGTTTCACTAGTGATGCCAGGATCGCCGAGATTGGAGTGGAAGGGTTCCACAGTTGACATGCCTAGCAGGGTTATCTCTTTCCTGAAGGCTCAGCACATGGTTGGGAAAGGGTGTTTGGCTTACTTAGCTTATGTTCGAGACACCACTGCAGAGTCTCCGACGATTGATTCAGTGCCAGTAGTTCGAGAGTTCGCCGATGTGTTTCCTTCTGATCTGCCCGGCATGCCTCCGGATCGTGATATTGATTTCTGCATTGATTTGGCCCCAGGCACTCAGCCTATATCTATTCCACCGTACCGTATGGCCCCTAAGGAGTTGAAGGAGTTGAAGGAGCAGCTAGAGGAGTTGTTAGCAAAGGGGTTTATCAGGCCCAGTGTATCGCCTTGGGGCGCACCAGTGCTATTTGTGAAGAAGAAGGATGGGACCATGCGAATGTGCATTGATTACCGCCAGTTGAACAAGGTCACCATCAAGAACAAGTACCCGTTGCCTCGTATTGATGATTTGTTCGACCAGCTGCAGGGTGCTAGGGTGTTCTCTAAGATTGACCTGAGGTCAGGATATCATCAGCTGAAGATTCGGGACTCGGATGTTCCGAAGACTGCATTCTGGACTAGATATGGCCATTATGAGTTTCTAGTGATGTCCTTTGGCTTGACCAATGCGCCAACAGCATTTATGGATCTGATGAACAGGGTATTCAGGCCTTATATTGATTATTTTGTCATCGTCTTCATTGACGACATCTTGATATACTCGCGTAGCTTGGGAGAGCACGAGCAGCATTTGAGAGTAGTGCTTCAGACCTTGCGAGAGCAGCAGCTGTATGCCAAGTTCTCCAAGTGTGAGTTTTGGCTCGAGTCAGTGGCATTCTTGGGGCATATTGTGTCCGGAGAGGGTATTAAGGTTGATCCCAAGAAGATTGAGGCAGTTCAGAGTTGGCCACGTCCCACTTCAGTGACCGAGATTAGGAGTTTCCTGGGATTAGCAGGTTATTACCGGCGGTTCGTGCAGGGCTTTTCATCTATTGCATCACCCTTGACTAGACTGACCCAGAAGGGTGCCCCATTCATTTGGTCCGATGATTGTGAGGAGAGCTTCCAGAAGCTCAAGACAGCTTTGACTACGGCACCAGTTCTTGTATTGCCTTCCGGCTCGGGGATGTATACTATATATTGCGACGCCTCACGCGTTGGTTTGGGATTATTGCATATGCCTCGCGTCAGCTGAAGTTTCACGAGAAAAATTACCCTGTGCACGATTTGGAGTTGGCAGCGATTGTTCATGCTCTTAAGATATAGAGGCACTATTTGTATGGGGTGCCTTGTGAGATTTACACTGACCACCGCAGCTTACAGCATTTGTTCAAGCAGAGGGAACTCAATTTGAGGCAGCACAGGTGGCTTGAGTTACTGAAGGATTATGACATTACCATTCTTTATCATCCGGGCAAAGCGAATGTGGTCACGGATGCCTTGAGCAGAAAGGCGGAGAGTATGGGTAGCCTAGCATTGATTCCAGCAGAGGAGAGGCCACTAGCCTTGGACATTCAGTCCTTGGCTAACAGGCTTGTGAGGTTGGACATTTCAGAGCCCGGCCGAGTTCTAGCGTGTGTGGTCGCCCAGTCTTCGTTATTGGGGGAGATCAAGGCCCGGCAGTTCGATGATCCACATTTGGCAGTCCTCGGAGAGACGGTACTTCAGGGAGGTGCCAAGGAGGTTTCTATTGGCGAGGATGGTGTGCTGCGGCTCCAGGGCCGTCTATGTGTTCCTAATGTTGATGGTCTTAGGGAGAGGATTCTAGAAGAGGCCCACAGTTCGAGGTATTCCATTCACCCGGGAGTTACGAAGATGCATCGTGATTTGAGGCAGTATTACTGGTGGCGGCGGATGAAGAAGGACATAGTGAAGTATGTGACTAAGTGTTTGAATTGCCAGCAGGTCAAGTATGAACATCAGAGACCAGGCGGCCTACTTCAGCGGATGCCTATACCAGCGTGGAAGTGGGAGCGCATTACCATGGATTTTGTAGTTGGGTTGCCGCGGACTTTGCGGAAGGTTGATTCGGTGTGGGTCATTGTGGATAGATTGACCAAGTCGGCCAATTTTATTCTAGTGGCGACTACTTATACAGCAGAGAGGTATGCTCAGATCTATATTCGGGAGATAGTCCGATTGCATGGTGTGCCGGTGTACATCATATCAGACAGAGGCCCCCAGTTCACTTCCCATTTCTGGAGAGCCGTGTAGAGTGAGTTGGGGACTCGTGTAAAGCTTAGTACAGCATTCCATCCTCAGACCGACGGACAGCCGGAGCGGACGGTACAGATTTTGGAGGATATGCTTAGAGCATGTGCGATTGATTTTGGAGGGCAGTGAGATCAGTTCTTGCCTCTAGCAGAGTTCACATACAACAACATCTATCAGTCCAGCATAGAGGTGGCCCCATATGAGGCTTTATATGGTCGACATTGTCGTTCTCCCATCGGGTGGTTTGAGCCTGGCGAGGCTAAGTTACTTGGTATAGATTTGGTACAAGATGCCTTGGATAAGGTAAAGGTGATTCAAGAGAGGCTTCGTACAGCTCAGTCCAGGCAAAAGAGCTACGCGGATCAGAAGGCGCGGGATGTATCATTTATGGTCGGCGAGAAGGTTCTCTTGAAAGTCTTGCCCATGAAGGGCATTATGAGGTTCGGGAAGAAGGGCAAGTTGAGCCCAAGGTTTATTGGCCCCTTTGAGGTGTTGAGGCGAGTTGGGGAGGTTGCTTATGAGCTTGTTTTACCCCCTAGTTTATCGGGAGTTCACCCAGTCTTTCATGTTTCGATGTTTCGGAAGTATCATGCCGACCTATCCCACGTGTTGGACTTCAGCACCATTCAGCTAGATGAGAGCTTGGACTATGAGGAGGAGCCAGTTGCTATTATTGATAGACAGGATCGCCAGCTGAGGTCCAAGAAGATTTCTGCAGTGAGAGTCCAGTGGAGGGGCCAACCGGTCGAGGAGGCAACCTGGGAGTCCGAGGAGGACATGCGAAGCAGATATCCCTACTTATTCAGCAGTCTAGGTACTTTTCTATGTCCGTTCGAGGACGAACGTTTGTTTAAGAGGTGGAGAATGTAACGACCCGACCGGTCGTTTTGCCTTTTTGAACCCCGTTCCCCTAAATAAAGCCTCCCGTACTTGCTTTAACTAATTTACGACTTGGGGGGGCGAATGGTTCGGGAATTGGAAGGGTTTTGAGTAAAATATGCTCATTTGCTTCTTTGAGACTTTCTTAAAAGACCAAGTTTGACTTCGGTCAACATTTTGGGAAAACGGACCCGGATTCATGATTTGACAATTTCTGAGGGTCCGTGGGAAAATATGGGACCTGGGCGTGTGTCCGAAACCGAATTCTGAGGTCCCTAGCCCGAGTAATGAATTTTTATAGAAAATTGTCAAACTGAAATCCTAAGAGTTTAATAAAAAGGAAAATGCTTGCTCACATTGATATCGGGCCCGTATGTTGGTTCCGGAGCCCGGTACAGGTTCGATATAATACGAGCTCGGATCGGAATTTTTATGATTTGGTTAGCTTCGTTGGGTGATTTATGACTTAGGAGCATCATCGGAATTGGTTTTGGAGGTCCGGTGTAGAATTAGGCTTGAATCGGCAAGGTTAGTATTTTGGCGATTTTCGGTTGACAGGTGAGATTTTTATCCGAGGGTCGGAATGGAATCCGAGAGTTGCTGTAGCTTCGTTATGTAATTTGGGATGTGCGCGTAAAATTTCAGGTCATTCGGACGTCGTTTGGTTGGGTATTTGATCAAATGCGTGTTTCAGAAGTTTTTGGGAACTTAGGCTTGAATCCGATGTAATTTGAGGGTTTTGGTGTTATTTGTGGTGTTTTGATGATCGGAGCAAGTTTGAATGATGTTTTAAGATGGATTGGCACTTTTGGTTGAGGTCCCGGGGGCCTCGGGGTGATTTCGGATAGCCATCAAGATGGATTTTGGAGTTGTGAAATTGCTGGTTTGCTGATATCTGGTATTTTCGCATCTGCGGAAAAGGGGCCGCATATGCGGTTCCGCAGATGCGAGGGGCTGGTCGCAGGTGCGAGTTCTTGGAAGATTGTTGTTTCCGCAGGTGCGGGCTTGGAGACACATCTGCGATGCCGCATATGCGGTGGAGGAACCGCAGAAGTGAAGGCAAGGCTAGGGTAATTTTCCGCAAAAGCGGACAAGTTGCGCAGAAGCAGTGTCCGCAAATGCGAATACCTAACCGTAGAAGCGGTCCTGGGCAAGATTGGGTGTTCCGCAGAAGCGGATGGAAAACCGCAGAAGCGGTAGTCGCATATGCGATAAGGTAACCGCAGATGCGAAAATGACTGTTCAGAGAAGGGTTTTAATGCTCAGTTTGTTCCGCGAGCTTAAGT